TTCTCTAATTTGTGTTCTCTTTTTGAAAAGGGGGAAAGGACAGGAAGGAGAAAGAATGATAAGGAATGTGCCTGTATCACTATCTCTTTCATTTTTCTCTTTAATTGGTTAGATATTCTATTTGAGGGTTTTCTTTCTTTCTTTATTAGCATATTCATTGTTACAAATCATACTTATTCTTTATGCCCCTTATCTAATCTCTCCCCTTCCCCTTCCCTGTCTACCCATCTCCCTTCCCTTCCCTTTTTCCCCATTGAGTGTTTTCTTTCTTCTCTAAGCACCCCAAGAACATTAAATATCTGCCAGAAATTACATTCAGTACAGTTTTTTTTTTTGTTTTTTTGTTGTTGTTTGTTTTTTTAAAGATGACCGGTAAGAGGATCTTAACCCTTGACTTGGTGTTGTCAGCACCATGCTCTCCAAGTGAGCCATGGGTTGGCCCTTCAGTACTATTTTAATAAGTGTATTTCTCCCCTCTCCCTTGTCCTCAAACCCAATTAATTGCTTTATCCTGTTGATTCTACCATCATAATCCCTTCCTCAACCTTCTCTTCCTAATTTATGCCATTCAGTTTAACCCTCATTAATTTTGTCTAAAGTCTCATTATAGCCTGGCCAGTAAGCTTGCCTCCTTCAACTTTTATCCTGCTGCCAAATCACCTTCATGTAACGTTTCTGCTCAAAAATCTTCAGTGACTTACCATTACCTACAAATAAAGTCCTCCCAACAACTCTCTGGCCCCAAACCACACCATCATACAATTTCCTGCTACTCGGAGTCTCTTTATGAATCCCACATTACAACCAAACTACAACTCCCTCTATACTCCCCATTACCTTCCTACCTCTCTTGCTTTGCTCCTTTGCCTGGCATGTCTGTTCTTCAGCCCTTCTGTGCTTGCCTGAAGCTACCTTTCCTTCAAATCCCCATTCAACTGTGGTTACTTGTATATAGACTTCCCTAATTCCCTACAACGGAAAGAAACCTTTCCCTTCCTCTACACCACTATGGCTAATTGTCCCAGATTTTCATTTCCTGTCTCTCTCTGCTGCCATTTTCACTTGTATCTTCCTTTCAGCACTCATCATCTGCCCTGTGTAACTTATGTGCAGATGAAGGGCAGGGCCTCTGCCAATTTACATTCCTTCACAGAACTTAGTCCAGGACCTTATACATCAAAAGTACTCAGTAAAAATTTTTACAGTCTTTGTAAATTGCTGATTCCCTATGATATGGATGCAATTAACAATGTCATCATACTTTCTTACCAAGCTGGCTAACAAAGTCCATCATTTTTGCAAGATGGTAAATGTTAGAAGGAATCTAAAACGTAGTCTAAACCCATCTCCACCATTGGTTTGTTCAAGCATTAGGATATTTTTGCATCAAATGAAATCCCGCATTGTTCTTTAGTGTTCATCAGGTAGAAATGCATCTTTCAGTAGCTTCCACCTTGTAGTCCTAGTTCACTGACCCCTTGAAGTCACAGGAAACAGATCTTATCCTTTACTCACATAGGCTTTCAAATTTAAAATGTTTCACAGGTAACCATCATATAAAAATACAACAGGAACCTATATTCTGAGCATCTTGTTAAAATAAATGTACCAATTTTTCTTGTATACCTAGTTAACACTTCACAGTTATAGAAAAATATGACAGGATTTCTAGAGGCTGACATTCTCACTAAGCTTTCTAATTTCTCACTAATTAAGCAACTTCTCTATATGGTGAAATCCACCCAGCTCACCTCACTACAACTATACCCCAAGGATATTTCTGGCTCTTCTCTCCCCTTTCCTTGGAAAAGCTCATATACACTTCACCTTCAAACTATCACCACTGTGGCTAATAGTCCCAGATCCTTATTTTCTATATCTCTCTGCTGCCAATTTCAACATAGTTAGATTCTTCCATTCAGAGAAATTCAAATTCAATGTATTGAAAAAATGAGCCCATCATCCATCTCCAAATCTACTCCTTCTCAACTTCATCACTTTAGTGGTGGTCCTGTTTTTCAGTTCTCTCACTGAATCTATTTCCTATTTCACTGTTAAAAGTTTCATCTTTTCTTTGATTATCCCTCTTTCTTTCCTTTTATTTTTTGGCTGCTGGCCAGTACAGGGATCTGACCCCTTGACCCTAGTGTTAGCAGCAGCATGCTCTGACCAAGTGAGCTAACTGGCTGGCCCTTTATTTCCTTTTACACTGCTTCCACTCTAAGCAAGGCACTCATTTACCTCAAACCTACATTTCTGAAATTGGCCTTTCAGTTCATGGCTTCTCCCTCCTCCAAACAATGCAACATATTAATCCTCTCTTGTCATTTTGTTATTTTCCTGCTCAAGAACCTAATAGTTCCCCATAGATGGTGAAGACTACAGCAACTCTGAACTTCTCATCTGACTTTCAGGAATAATAAATAATATTTACTGAGAACTTACCATGTGCTAAACATTGTTATGTACCTTCCATTGTATTATATCATTTATCCCTCTCAACAGCTCTCTGAAGTAGGCTCTACTGTTATCCCTATTTTATGGTTGATGGCACTGGCCCAGGTCACAGTCAGTAAAAGGCAGAGCCAGGATTTAAACTCAGATGGACTTCAGTGTCTGAAGTCTCAACCCTGAGGACAAAATGCATCCCCAGAAATGACCCCATCCAACCTAGCCTGGTTTCTCACTATACTCCAACTCGGCACTCTATTCCAATCAGCCCTTTCTTCTCCCTCGCCCTTGAAGGTACCATATTAAATTTTGCCACCATATTGTTATGAATTCCTTCACCTTTCCTTGCAAGTTCTACCCATCACCCAAGGTTTAACTCAAACCCCATTTCCTTGAAAACTTTCCTGTTTCCCTCTGAACAAAAATCCCTCCCTTTCCTGAGCTCCTAATTCATAGTTATAGCCAGTACCACTTAATTCCCTAAGTGCTTCTCATATAACTTGACTTTAAAATCCTTAAGGAAGAAGTACACCTTTCCCCATCCTAGTGCCTGTAATATCATTACAAAGTAGGGAGGAAAATGAAAAGACTAAACCTTCCTCAAAAACATTGGGAACCTCTCATCAACACATATTATCAGTGAAGTGAATTAAATATTTAGTGAATTAAATATTCAGTTCTTCAAAAGCCACCTTAGGAGTGACATAAGCAATTCAACAGCATAGTTTTCATACACTGTACTTAATTCTAATGTGGTTTTCTTTCTACATTTTTATAAGGATACATCTTATAATTATGGCATGTCAATCTAACTGGTATCATTTCTTAGTGGAACCTAAAATAATAGCACATCTTATAAAATATGAATTCTTAGATTCAGTGAAATAGGGTACAAAGAATAATAGTTCTTAACTACATCTGACAAACAAGGATGAAGAAACCATACTAACCTAGTATACTTGTCTAATAATAATAATAGTTAGCATTTAGTGAATTAAGTTCTTGTGTTAGTTGCAGTACCAGGAGCTTCATAAGAGTCATCTGACTTAAGATGTAATCACCATCTTCATTTTACAGATATTAGGAACAGACCCCTAAACCGAGTAACTTGCCCAGGGTCACATAACTGGTAAGTTATGGAATCAGGATGCAAACCCTGGTCCATGACTCCGAAGGCAAAGAATATAACCAAATAAGATCAATATCATAACAAAACTCAACCCTACAAAAAGTTCTGCTGGGCTGGCCTGTGGCTCACTCGGGAGAGTGCGGTGCTGATAACACCAAGGCCACGGGTTCGGATCCCATATAGGGATGGCCGGTTTGCTCACTGGGTGAGTGTGGTGCTGACAACACCAAGTCAAGGGTTAAGATCCCCTTACCGGTCATCTTTTTAAAAAAAAAAATAAAAAGTTCTGCTGCCTACTCTTTTGCTGAGGTACAGAACATCAACTTTGCTATCAAAGACAGTCAATAAATGATGAGTTGCTACAATTTTTGAACTCAATGACATCAATTCCCCTTCTACAATACTGAAATTCCAGATGAGGTCTCTATTGCCCTCTCAAAACCTAAGGTCCATGACATTAAAAACCTTTTTGACTTCTTCACTGCTCAGTACACTGCACCTAAAACATTGCTAGACACACAGGAAATGCTCAAAAATATTTATTTAAAAAAATATATTTACTTGCTCTTTTACTATCCTGTATCTTTAGATTTTTCTGAATTTTCCAAGATGCTAATAAAATAGAGCATTCACAATTCACAAATATTTCTGTATTAAAAAATGCTCAGTACACTGCACCTAAAACATTGCTAGACACACAGGAAATGCTCAAAAATATTTATTAAAAAAAATATATTTACTTGCTCTTTTACTATACTGTATCTTTAGATTTTTCTGAATTTTCCAAGATGCTAATAAAATAGAGCATTCACAATTCACAAATATTTCTGTATTAAAAAAAAAAAAATTCAGAAGGAGAAAAATCTTGATTAATTCTAATACATGTATTATTCAAACCAAGACAACTTTCCCAAGACTGTCCTACCATGACTCTTACCTCATCTTCTCCCTGACACCCACCCTATAATATACACTATACAAATTCAAAGATGCTCACTTCTCCACTGTTATGCATCAAGCTTTTTTTTTTGCACATCTGTTCACTTCATCTGAGATGTCCTTCCCCACTTCCTCATCTAGTCCTTGTCATCCCTTAAGACTCAATATCTTCCAAGAAGTCCACCTTTAATAGCCAGACTAGCACACAACATCAGGCTGAAATAATCTATTTGCACATCTCTATTCCAATTGGACTGTAAGCTCTTCCAGGCCACGTAGTAAGACATAAGTGACACAGGTCGGGAAAATCTGTTAACCCATGCCTCTTCCTCACCTGGCCCCCTCTCCCACCAGTTAAGGATTCACCAAATGACAAAGACAGATGGCGGGTAAAAAGGCTGAAAAGGACCAAATGTGAAACTATTATTACAACGCATACAAGATAGTGAGTAAAAGTCATTTTCTGCCTTCCAATACTTGCCTCCACAATAAAGAACTCGAAGCGGATAATCGGCATCTAATTTGGCACTGTTCCTCAGGTCTCCTTTGCAATCACCTCCACTGGATTCAGAAATGTCAGCAGCCATTTCACAAACCTGTGAGGAAGGAAAATAACACATTTTCACTATTCGGAACCAAGACCACAGAGGAGCAGCATTCAGGTGCAGTCTCACCCCCTTACAGTAGAAATCCCCCCACCCCAAAGCTGTTTCAATTCTCTGTTAAGTGAGAGGTAAAAGCTGCATTAGATTCATAAAATATGAGCAGCTGCGGCACATGGGGTGGGTGACCTCGGCAGAGACGGAGCAAAAGGTCTGAGGGTGATATGGGAAGGATGCAAACTGAAGTAAGAAAGAAAATCTCCAAAGCAGCTGGACGAAGAGAAGCTGGAAAAGCCTAGGAAGAAGGGATGGGTCACCCGAGGTGCCCACAGCGCAGGGTGTAGGGGCAGCTAAATCCCATAGTAGGGGCACTTAAGTCAGAAATAGCGATAGGAGGGGGCGGGGTGACCAGACCCTGAGGAGGACAAGAGAAAATGGGAACAGAAGGACCAGGGAGGGGCAGAATGTAAGAACACTGGGGCGACAGGAGCGACAAGGGCGACCAGGTCTGATGCGAAGGGGCTATCCCCGGGCACCAAAGGGGACCCCATGCGGGCGGGGGTGTGGAGACGCCCGGCCCCCTTCCTCCAGGCAGCACCTCAGCTTCTCCCATGCTCTCTACAAGCTTCTCGGAGGCGGGAAAGGCACAAGGGGTCGTTACCCAGGCGATCGCACAGCCCCCACCGCCTCCGCTCCCGCCGCTACCGCCAGCTGAAGGGACACATGCAACTCCTCTCCCTCGGCCAGGGCCGCCGGAGAGCCCGTCTGCCGGGCGCGCTCCCGCGAGACAATAAGACTTTATCGCGAGATTCAGACCGCCTCTCTGCAGATGTCGCGAGAAACCTGAAGGCGGGGGCGGAGAGAAATTAAAGAGCATGCGCCTTCCGCTGAAGGGGGGCGGGACCAAGAAGTCGAGAAACGGGCTGCCGGAAGGCCGTGCTCGTTAGGCGACGGAGAAGGTGGGTTGTGGGAGACGGGGGCGCGGGAGGGGACGGGGACAGGAGACGCAGAGACATGCACCTGAGTCAGAATGACTCTCTGTTAATGGGCCCGGGGAACATTGCCCCGGTGTCTGGGGTGCATCCTGGAGTCCTGACTAACTTCCAGCCCAATGGAAAGTCACTCCTCCGCGGGAAGATTGCAGCTGGATAAGGCGTTTACTCTCATTTCAACACCACACCCTAAACTGGAGGAATTACTGTTGAAAAGATAATATCAACGCTATTTAAACTTTTTTCATCGGCCACAATCTCACCACTCTAACAACTATTTTCTTGTCTTTTTTGTTTACTCACCACTATACTAAGGAGGATTATTTACATCGCCTTCCTTGTGTTTACCTATCCTTATGTGTGTTCTAAATTGGAATTAATCTATCCCATCTCAGGCTTTCTCTCAGGAGTCTGAAGCGTGGTAGGTGTAACTACAGGGTCACATTTTGTGTTTTCATTTGGGGAAAATTTCTTCATATTCATACTCAGCCTGAGTCCCGTTTGTGAAATGGAACTGATAACGCCACAATGCTTGCAGGGATATGAAAGATAGGGGCATGATGACCCAAAAAAAGTGCTTTGTAGATGAAGGTTGGTCTTTTCTATTTTGCTTTATCTTGCATTCACACCCAACTTATTTCCCTCCTTCCCTGTCAACTTCACTCACCGCCACTACTACCCATCTTTAATTTTTTGTTTACAACTTATTTTGTAGGTGCACTAAGGCATCCAGCAGAATCCTTTCCACCAGAGATTCAGCCAGTGTGACCTCCACTTCAATGTCTTTCTTAAAGAAGAGTTCCCCTCCTCAGAAAGAGTCAGTTCTACATGACACTAGTGAAAGAAGAAAAGATCTTGTTCCCACCAAAGCATATTTGATTCCAATAATAATAGCTTCCGTTTATTGACACCCACCCTGGAACCATGTTCATGTGCGGTCCAGGTAGATTCATGCCACAAAATTGTCTTAGGTTTCTTACTATGCACCAGGTTCTGTGCTGGGCACTAGGGATACTACAGTGAACAAAAGCGATAAAGTCCCTACTCTCACTAAAATTAGCAGTTTTGGACATGTTAACTGATTTAATCCTTACAAGAACCCTGTGAAGTAGGTATTACAGTCCCTAATTTTCAAATGGTAAAACGAAGGCTCAAATGTAGAAATAAATTAAGTTCAAATATACTTAAGATCACATAGCATAAAGCATATTTTATTGATCTTAAAATGAACACTTCTCATTTCAGTATCTCACATCAAGATGTACAGCAGTGGGCGGAGTTTTAGCATTGTGCCATCGTTTAGATGACAGCATTTTTCTCTTTTACAGGTTCACAAAATAATGGTGCATCGAGTGGCATTTTAGATATGATGAAATATGTCCATTTTTCTTTTTCTCTTTTTGGAGACTGGCAGGTATGAGGATCTAAACCCTTGACCTTGGCATTATCAACACCATGCTTTTTTTTTTTTTTTTTTTTTTTGTCTTTTTTTTGTGACCGGTAAGGGGATCGCAACCCTTGGCTTGGTGTTGTCCGCACTGCGCTCAGCCAGTGAGCGCACTGGCCATCCCTATATATGATCCGAACCCACAGTGGGAGCGCCGCTGCGCACCCAAGCGCCGCACTCTCTCGAGTGCGCCACGGGGCTGGCCCAACACCATGCTTTAACCAAGTGAGCTAACCAGCCAGCTCATATGTGCGGAAATATGGATAGGTGGCCATTCCTGCATTATAGACCAATGTCCTCAGTTCCATTTCTCACCCTTTTCCTGCTCTACTTTGTACGGAACGAGGCACTGACCCCTGTAGACTTCTGTCCCAGGCCTCCTTGTTCCCTAGCTTCCAGCTAGGTTCAGCCAATGGGAGCCAGCAATGGGAGAAGCCCCCTTCCCCTCCCCACTCTGCCCCATCCCTCCTGCTTGAGCAACATCTCTGGCAATAACTGATTCTCCCTCTGCATTGTTAGGTGGTACCAGCCCCTGGACTCTAATAACATAGCACCCTCCCTGGATCTAGGCTCTGTCCTGGGGAAGGTTGTATCTTCCTGCTGCTGCTAATTTCTGCATTGCCTCACCACCTCTGTTAAGCTTTTCAACAGTTCCATTCCCCATGTAACCAATCCCTGAATTAAATTCTTCTTTGGTTTGAATACTTTCATAGGGTTCTGTTTTCTGGGTGGACTCTGCCTGACACAACTGGCATTCAAACCCAGATTTGCACTCCTGTCACATCCCAGAGCCTTTCAGCTCTCAGGTACTCAAAGGAGGAAGGACATATTAAATAAACATCCCATCAGTTTCTTACCAGGAAGCCACAGACCTCTGAGAGACACTGAAATTATTGTAAAGGATACAGGAATCCATTTGTGCATGAAGCATTGTCAGTAAATTGACTAAATATCTCTCAAACATAAGAATTAGTATTTTCCAATATGTCACCATTTTGTTCCAATGAAAGTCCAAAAATTGAATGTGATTGGCCCAGCTCAAGTTATGTCCATCCCTAAATTAGTCACCATAATTAATCAAGCCGTGAGTCAAGGGTCCCATCTTTGGACCTGGGTTTGGAGAGTAGTGAGAAGGTACATCCTAAAAGAAAATTGAGACACTATTACCTTCTGAGACAGTGATGCTAAGGTATCGAAAACAACAGGATATCCACTACAGCATCTTCATGCTCACATGCGCTAAAAATTATTAAATAATCTAGCACCCTTAACATATCAAGTGGCTGTATAGGTAAGTCAGACTATTAACAGAATCTCATTTTACTTGAGATAGTGTGTCCAGCTAAAGATACTTGATTCCCCAGCTATGTGACACTGTTCTGATCAGTGAGATGTAGGTAGAAGTCCCTGAGGAGGGCATCCCTTCTGTCAGGAAACACTGTGAAAGATTTCGAAATGGGCAAAAAAGAATACTGGTGTTGGGCTGGCTGATTAGCTCAGATGATTAGAGCATGGCGTTGTAATTTCGGTGCTGGGAACACCAAGGTGAAGGATCTGGATTCTCTTACTGGCCAGCTGCCAAAAAAAAAAGAATACTGGGTGTCCTGTGTGGTGCCCTTTGATGCCATCTCCATCTTTCACTGTCTTTGAGCTATTTTACAATTTTGTAAGTAATGGAAAACTGATAGTAAAGCAAATGTCTCTTGTCTATAGAAATGCAAATGAATTGCATCTGGAGGACCTGCAATTGATTAATTCTCTGTTGATATTGAATAGTTTTCCATCTATTTGGAAATTCATTTCAGCATTCCCAATTGCCTGAAATTCTCCTTTGAACTGTTTTTAACATCTTACCGATTCCCTTGCTAATTAATGAGTGAAATAAAATCTTTGACCCATGTTTATTTTATAATTGGATGAGTCATATTTTTATCCTTTATAATTTTTTTTTCTGGTGGCTGGCTGAGGCAGGGATTGGAACTCTTGACCTTGGTGTTATCAGCACCATGCTCTACTGAGTGAGCTAACCAACCAGCCCCTATCCTTTAAAAAATTTATCATTTAAAACTTCCCAAATAAAAAGGCAAGGCCTCACATAAACAAGTCTTGACCTTTCTCTCTTCTTTCTGACTGGACCATGAACATAAGGCAGTAGGTACCACAGCCATCTTGCAAGCATGAGGGGCAAGCCTGAGAATGAAGTTCATATGCTAAAGATTATGGACTGGACACACATAGATAGCCTGGGTTCCTGATAGCATCGTTGAGTCACCATGTCAGCTCTAGACTTTTTCTTTCTGGAGTTATTTCTGTGAAAGACAAATACTCCCTAATCTGTTTAAACCAGGCAGGGGGGCTTTCTGTTGTACTACAGAATGCATTCCTAACTGCTCCTTCCAGAAAGATAGGTATTTCCTTTAACGCAAGAGAGAAACGTGTGCTCAAGCCAAGCGTGCCTGAAGTAAGGAGACGAAGGTAAGACCTGGGTAAAGGGTGATGGGGAAGTGATGTTGCAAGGATTGGTCATTCGGACAAAGCATGGAGGAAGGGGCAGTTTTGACAGTCACTTTCTGAGAAGTCTTCAATTGAAGAAAATGAAAGAGCTTGCCCTTGGCTGCTTGAATTACAAGTGACCTCACAACATGTGACTCCTTACCATAACATCATTCAGAGTCTCATGAAATCGTGGGTTTATTTTTCCACTCTTAGGGCTGAATTGGCCCTGAGTCAGACATTTCCTTTCACCTGGTCCTTTCTGGGCATTTTCAAGATGATTACTTGGGGTGATGTGGATTTTCATTGATTGCTTTTCTAGTATTCACTCTCAATAATAAGTCCACTGACCTGATCCTGTCTAAAGAAGAAGAAGAAAAAAATAACAAGTCCATTTTGGTTGGCAGTTTTCATCTCTCTCCCACACTCTATCCATGTGGTCTGATTCAGCCTTAACTCTCCATCCAGAGGTGGTGCCCGTGACCAATGTCTAAGCCAATCAGCACATTGTGTTCTGCTGGTAGCGATGATTAATTGATTCAACAGTAGATCATCCAGAGTGAATCTCAGCAGATTTTTGAGGGAATATTAAAAAGAGCCCTCTCGGGCCCAGCCCGTGGCACACTTGGGAGAGTGTGGCGCTGGGAGCGCAGCAGCGCTCCCGCTGCGGGTTCGGATCCTATATACGGATGACTGGTGGGCTCACAGCACTCACTGGCTGAGCGCGGTGCGGCCGGTCTCAAAAAGGACAAAAAAAAAAAAAGCCCTCTCTTTCCCAGGGGACTTGAGTCTCAGGATGGACAGTAGAGTTGCCGGCCACCATCTTGCCACCAT